TTCTTCTTTTCAAATTAATTGTTTGAAAGGTGGAACAACAGAGAAATGGAGAGAAGGAAGTGGCTCTTCCATCTACTTGTAACTTTCCAACTGGACTTAATGGCCAGGACTGGACCAGGCCAAAGTCAGGAGCCAGAAACTTCATCTGGGTTGCTCATATGAGTGGCTGAAACCCGAGTACTTAGGCCTTTTTCCATACCTTTCCAGGATATTAGCAGAAAGCTGGGTCAGAAGCAGAGCAGCCAAGACTCGAAAGGGTGTACCGATATGGGTTGCCAACATCTTACATGATATTTTAAGTCACTGTGCCATAGTCTTGGCCAATACTTTTACCTTTACTAGTTCAGAGGACTAACTCTTTGATTTTTTTTTCACAGTACCCTTTATGATAGAAAAAAAAAATCATATTTGCTAAATATTTTAACATGTGATGATATTAACAAAATGTGATATTTTCTTTTTACTATGTAAATGTTAATTTCCAAGAAGCTTTAATTTAATGTGACAGAAATATGCTGAAGAAACTGCATGGTCCAGTAGATGCAGACCATAATATGTTGTTTTAGTTTAATCAGTACTTTTAGAACAATGTTTTAAATAAACAATCCAGATTTGGGCTCTGGAAAAAAGATAAACTTTGTCATTGTTTACACTTTGTAAATGGAAAACAGAAGTATACACCTCATGGGGTGGGAGAGCTAGTTATGACATACAGCTTATGACTAGCTTATCCAGACTAAATTAGACTAAATTAGCTGTGACAAGGGATGTGTGTGGTAGTGGTTAAAAAAGACAAATCATTATGCCTACAGGTTATTGAGAGGTGGGTCTAGTTTACAAAATTAATGTAAAGAAGAAACAAATAGAAGGGGGTCTCTGTGTCTCTTTTTTTTTTTAAGAATAACTAATTTTAAATTATATTAACTTTTAAGTTACCAGAAATATAGAAGAGTCTAAAACTGGAAAAAAAAATTCGTTAATTCTTTTTCTGAGACTTTAAGAATAATAGACCTAGAGGAATGTGGGGTGTTCTTTTTTTTAAGATTAATTTCATTTTTATTTCAAAGACTAGAGTTAGAGACAGAGAGCTCTTCCATCCACTGGTTCACTCACTAAAAGGCTGCAATAGCTGAAGTTGAACTCATCTAAAACCAGGACCAGAGCTGTCCTCCTCTGCTCTCCTAGTCCACAAGCAGGGAGCTGGATTGCAAGTGAAGTAGCTGGGACATGAACTGATGCCTATATGGGATGCCAGTGCTGCTGGCAGAGGCTTAGCATGTTACACCACAGTGCTGGCCCTGAAAATTGAGTATTATTAACTACATGTATAATATCAGAATAAAGTCACATTAGTACAATGCTAAACTTGAATAGAGGGAAAGCAGTAATTTCTTGAAGATGGTCTCATAAGTTCTTGGAATAAAAAAAAAATGATTGCTGAAGAACAGAAGTAAGTTAAGACATTTATTGTTGTTATTAGTAGTAGTATTATTGGTATATTCTGCCCATGTATTAATGTTTAAGGAAGTACAAATGGAACAAATGCGTGCTTCAAGATTCCTGACACTGAGGAATTCAAATTAATGGTAGACAAAGATATGCAAATCAGTGATCACATTATAGTGTTGCAGGTGATGTGAGATTTTTTTGATACAAGAAGGCCTTGAGCAGTTTGTGGAGTATTTACATCATGAAGGATAAGTGAGATTGGTGAGTTGACTAGGTGGAAAGAGCCCTCCATACAGAGGGAGCAGTGTGTACTGCTTCTGTTTGATTGGATTCAAGCTTTTAGGCTCCAGAGTTAAGAAACTAAGCATAGAATTGGGCTACAGAAAGAACCTGGGGCAAGGTGCTTCCTTTAACAAAGTTTAAAGTGTGGAAGTAGTTTGACTCTTCTCTTTGCTCTTCTACAGTAGGTATTGTAACACCTAGGCATATTGAGTTCATTTCAATTCCTTCCATAATCTACTAGGGAAATATTTATTAATCACCTAGTGTAAACTAGTTATTGTTTCTGGCAGTGAGAACACATTGATGTATAAAATAGACATCAACACTGGTTTTATAAATAGTCCACAACTAACACTGCTAACTGTATGAGCAGCTAGAACACCGCCTGTTCAAAGCTAAATAATATAGATAACTTGCAAATTTGGTAATCTAAAAGAATGATGATATCAGTAAAATATGAACTGCTCAAATTGAATGATAAATAAAATGTAGTGAGAACTATGATGAATTTGAGTGCAGAAGTTTGGGGAGAATAAGATCCTTTTACCTTTTATGCCAAGAAAATCAACTGAGAGTATGGATGCTCAGAGATGAGAAATAGTATGGCACTTTGGCACAGGGTCTCTTGCTTCATGCTTAACTCCTTCTGGCCATTTTCCCACAACTGACTGATTATTTTAAAACCCCAGTTAATCTCATGTCTTCTGCTGCTTCCTCTAGTGGCTTCCTGTTTCTTCTTACCATAGCCCAGATGGTATTTTGCGACTTTTTCTAAAATATCATGCAATCAAATCTCACTCACCTTGGTTGACCCTACTCCAGACCTACTGGCCTCTATGCCTAAAGCATTCCAAACATGCTCCACTTCACAGACTCTGGGCACACTGCTCTTTCTAGCCACACTCTCATAAATCTGATTGGTTGGTGTCCTTACCTTGTAAGACTCAGTTCAAGTCAAGAAGTCTGTACAGTTTGTAACCAGTTGCCACCTCAGCCCTTCCCTCACTTTCCATCAGCCGCCTCTGTGTCACACTCTGCAGTTGCACTGTCATGATTCCTTCTTTATAAAGATTTATTTATTTTTATTGAAAATGCTAATATACAGAGAGGAGGAAAGACACCATCATGGTTCTTGTAGGGGGTGCTTGTGATTTACAACTTGTTCTCACGAGATCCTGAGCACTTTGTATGAACCGTTAACTCCTGCTGCACAGTCCATGTACACGGGAAGCTCTCAGTTATGATTGAATTCTACACAGGAGTTATGGATAGGGTGTTCTATTCTGTTTTTTCATCTTTGTTTCTCTTTAGATACTGATTTGTGGTAACACTAAAACCAAATCAATTTTTAGTATATGCTTATCTATATTTTTTCTTATAATACCTCCTTTCTTATACCTTAAAACTTCATTTTTGAGCCAATATTAATTATATAAATTCACACTATTTATTGCCAGATCTTAATTATATAGCTTATTCTTACCATCTTTATGTAAATTTCGTATCATTGTCATGAAAGTAACTTCATTTTAGTAATACCTAGGCACTTGTTTTAAAGCAGGTTACATTGCTCTATCATCATTCAGTGGTAGAGATAACAATGTACAGACAATAAATGATTCAACAGCTACATATTTCTATCATTTAAATTAGTAGAATTTTATACTTTGTGTTCAAACAAAGACATTTATTATACATGGAGACACAGTTTACCTACAGAGTGTGTGCCACATGTTGCTAGTCCTATGAAGTATTAGTTATTTAGTTCTCTTACTCACCGTCACATTTTGTGTTCTTTCTGATTTGTACTACACATAGTATTCCTAACTTCCCAAGATATCATCTGAGATTTACCTTAAATGAAAAACAGTCATGGATGAGCAATCCTGTGGTTACTCACTACAGAACGATAGGAGAGTGAGCAGGAGTTGATGGAGAGTGAGCAGGAGTTGATGGAGAGGAGGAGGAGAGTGAGCAGGAGTTGATGGAGAGCAGGAGAGTGTGCAGGAGTTGATGGAGAGGAGAGTGAGCAGGAGTTGATGGAGAGCAGGAGGAGAGTGAGCAGGAGTTGATGGAGAGCAGGAGGAGAGTGAGCAGGAGTTGATGGAGAGGAGGAGGAGAGTGAGCAGGAGTTGATGGAGAGGAGGAGAGTGAGCAGGAGTTGATGGAGAGGAGGAGAGTGAGCAGGAGTTGATGGAGAGGAGGAGGAGAGTGAGCAGGAGTTGATGGAGAGCAGGAGGAGAGTGAGCAGGAGTTGATGGAGAGCAGGAGGAGAGTGAGCAGGAGTTGATGGAGAGGAGGAGGAGAGTGAGCAGGAGTTGATGGAGAGCAGGAGAGTGAGCAGGAGTTGATGGAGAGCAGGAGAATGAGCAGGAGTTGATGGAGAGGAGGAGGAGAGTGAGCAGGAGTTGATGGAGAGCAGGAGTTGATGGAGAGGAGGAGGAGAGTGAGCAGGAGTTGATGGAGAGGAGGAGAGTGAGCAGGAGTTGATGGAGAGGAGGAGAGTGAGCAGGAGTTGATGGAGAGCAGGAGAGTGAGCAGGAGTTGATGGAGAGCAGGAGAGTGAGCAGGAGTTGATGGAGAGGAGGAGAGTGAGCAGGAGTTGATGGAGAGCAGGAGGAGAGTGAGCAGGAGTTGATGGAGAGGAGGAGAGAGCAGGAGTTGATGGAGAGCAGGAGAGTGAGCAGGAGTTGATGGAGAGGAGGAGAGTGAGCAGGAGTTGATGGAGAGCAGGGATTGGTGTTGTTGTGCAGTAGGTTGAGTCGTCGCTTGTGAGAGAAGCATCCCGTTGTGGACTGTCTATTTGAGACCTTGCTGCCATGCTTCGGTCCAGATTCTTGCCAGTGCGCCTACAAAGGCAAAGAAAGTTGGCGTAAGTTCATGGTCTCACGTTGCCCATGTGTGAGACCTGAGTTGGACCCTTTGCAGCCTGCCCATTGCAGCCACTGGGAGAGCAAAACAATGAATGGAAGATCTCTTTGTCTCTCCCTTTCTGATGTGTGTCATTGAAATAAATCGTCGATTTTTTTATCACATAATCAGTTTCCTATTATCTGAAAATACTAGCTCCTCTTCTGTTATGATTTTTTAAATACTTCTCCATTGATGTCTTTTTGCTAAAACTGTTTAAGATGATTAAAAATGAATGTAGACCTAAAACAGGTGTTAGTTTTTAGGTCTGGAATTAGCATATCAGCAAAATATGAAATGTTAAAATGTGAGGCTTGCCTGCTGCAAATATAAAGTTTTTTCTCTTGCAAAAATTATAGGGGATGGAGTGTTAGATCTCTCTACAAAGAAAACCAGCATAAAATCTGAAGAGTCATCCATATGTGATCCTTCTGAAAATTCAATGGCTGGGTAAGCAATATGTAGGAAATATAACTTAATATTGATGTAACATTATCTCTGCTGAGAATTCTTAATAGTATTCTGAACACTATTGACACAGTTACTTCCTCCAGAATCTTTGTTACTCATTGTGTCTCATATGTTTCATTTGTCCTTTCTCTTTCTTTTTACTCTTTCTGTTAAAGAAAAGTTATCAGAACAATCACCAAACTTTAGTTCATGTTACCAAAATGAACTACCAACCTAATCATAGAATGCAAACTAAGAAGCAGGACAAATATGAGAATTTTAAATATTTAGGTGGCAATTTTAAGGAAAAATAATGTAATTTTAACATTAAAATTTTAAAACAACAAATTCTAAAAGTACTTACTAATTCTTAAAGCTAGTTTATGATGTTTGCAGTTTTTTATTTTAAATGTGGTGGCAAAAACTTTAATATATCTCATAATCACCACAAACTATCTTTCATGTTTTTGCAAGCTGTCAGTAATTCAAACAAATAGTAGTAAAATGCTGTTCTGTTGGATTTTTGGATTTTTTTTTTGTAATTTTTGCATCTTCTCATTAACTAACTACATAGGAAGGTTTTTTTTTGTCACATTTAAATCTCAGATTTACAATATGTTTTGCTTCAACCAAGACTGCAGTAGCATTTGAGTCATAAGGAATAGTGAACTTTCTCTCTGAGAAACTGAAAATTATGTTAGAGTCAAAAGAGAGACAACAGTCATAATATCTAAAATTAAAGTATTTTATTCAACCATAACTTACCTACTATTCAAATATAACTTATCTACTGATTCCAGTTTTTAAACTTTGGTTGAGAAAAATTAGGCATTAGTCTTGTGGAAGTATAGGGTGTTTGTATGTGGAAATTTTCCTGCTGCTACAAATTTCCTTTAAAGGGGTTGACTCTTTTATTACTTGTTTAGCGGTAACGTCACGTATCTACTAACAAAAACTCCTTTAGGGTTTGGGTATTTTTTTTATAGTGGAACACTAATTGTACAAGTAAAAATTGTAAGTGTTGCTCTGCAAGCATCTTACAGGGGAATAGCAACATCATGAGAATATTTTTACAAATACTGAGATAGGATTTTATGTTCTTGGAAGGTTTGCCCCTTGAGGCCACCGTATCATTGACACATTGTCCTACCAGGACGGTAGCATTTGCTTTGATAAGGAATAACTACTACGTCTCACAGACTTAAAAGTGTCATAAGCAGTGATGTTACCTAAGCAAGGAGTGTAATAAAGGAGTGGACCCTTCCCTTCCATAGCTGTGTGAGAGTCTCTCATGCATCAGTTTACCATCGTTTCATTCCATCCATCCAGGAGACTACACAGAAACAGAGAGGACTATGTGGAAAGAAGTGCTGAGTTTGCAGATGGTTTGCTCTCAAAAGCTTTGAAAGACATTCAGTCTGGAGCACTGGACATAAGTAAAGCAGGCATACTTTATGGCATACCTCAAAAAACTTTACTTCTCCACTTAGAAGCCTTACCAGCAGGGAAGCCTGCATCTTTTAAAAACAAAACTCGAGATTTCAATGATAGTTACTCATATAAAGACAGTAAAGAAACTTGTGCAGTGCTGCAAAAAGTAGCCCTGTGGGCAAGAGCTCAAGCAGAGCGCACAGAAAACAGTAAACTCAATCTACTTGAAACCTCAGAATTAAAATTCCCAACAGCTTCCAGTTACCTCCATCAGTTAACTCTACAGAAAATGATTACTCAGTTTAAAGAAAAAAATGAAAGCCTTCAATATGAAACGTCAAATCCTACTGTACAGTTAAAAATCCCTCAGCTCCGAGTAAGTTCTGTCTCAAAACCACAGCCTGATGGTTCTGGTCTGCTGGATGTTATGTATCAAGTTTCCAAAACCTCTTCAGTCCTAGAAGGATCAGCTCTCCAAAAACTGAAAAACATACTCCCTAAACAGAACAAAGTAGAATGTTCTGGGTCTGTAACTCACTCAAGTGTTGACTCTTACTTTCTACATGGGGACCTCTCTCCTTTGTGTCTTAATTCCAAAAATGGAACAGTTGATGGAACCTCTGAAAATACTGAAGATGGACTGGATCGAAAAGATAATAAGCAGCCCAGGAAGAAACGTGGCCGCTATCGGCAGTATGATCATGAGATAATGGAAGAGGCTATTGCAATGGTAATGAGTGGAAAAATGAGTGTTTCCAAAGCACAAGGAATTTATGGGGTACCTCACAGCACTTTAGAATACAAGGTAAAAGAAAGATCTGGAACACTGAAGACTCCTCCGAAGAAGAAACTACGATTACCAGACACTGGCTTATATAATATGACAGATTCAGGGACTGGCAGCTGCAAAAATAGCAGCAAGCCTGTGTAGATTTCTTGTTAGGAAAATGTGTGTGAGTGTGTGTGTGTGTGTGTATTTGTGTGTGTGTATGTGCACAGGTGTGTATTTGTGTGTCTATATACACACATGTGGGAATTACAAATGCTCACTCTGACAGGAGACATGAAATTTTACAGTTCAGAAACCACTTACATGCCTTTTGAAAAAAGTTTTATTCAGGGTTTTCACTGTGGACAGAATTATATAGTTGCTTACTTAATTCTGATAGTTTGTATTTAATCCTTGTATAAATAGGTGAGAAAGATTCAGGTTTTCTTTAGTAGTCAATAGCATAAAGCGTTGTTGGAAAACAAGTAATTGTCAAGTGAAAAGTTTTTATTGGTGAAGGACAGACCATTCCAGCCATTCAGCTGAACCATCTTATAATGGAAATAGGACATTAACAGTTTGTAAACATTTTTTGCATAACATATTTACAGCTATTGTAAGTATGCCAAACAGAAATCAAAGCTGAAATAAACAGCTAATCCCATATTAAGAAAAGTTAATATATACAGTATTAGTACACTACAGTGCATTCTATAAAATACAGATGCACCCGAGTGCGTCCCCAGGAATAGAGAAGAAAACCTTAAAGGATATGTATAATGAAATTTAATATTTATCATTTACTAGTTGATTTAGCAGGAAGTTGGGGTTTATAAAGGATATACTTTTAAAAGAAAAAAGCTGACACATAGTTTACCCCAGCAGCCATAGAATCTTTTAATATAAGATGGAATACTAAGAACAAGAAGTAATTTAAATTTAATTATTAAAATAATTTAATTTTGCTTTTCATTTGAGAAAATAAGCTAATGTGTAAGGTTAGAGAAGAAAGTTGGAATGCAGCTTAGAGCATGTTTATAATGTGCACAGAAGCAGCGTGAGAATGATAATTTTGGTTTAAATGTGCTGGTTAGTTGATGTTATGACTACTTTAAATTTTAAGGATTGTGACACACTCCTATTGAAAAACCTCAATGTAACTTTAATATATTTGCTGCTGTGACATTTCAAAACATTTTCAGTTTATCAAAATGAATTGCAGATTTCATTTTGATGGGCGATACATTATCATTTTGCTAATAACCAAATTTGCAGTTTGTTCAGGGTCTTGAATAGATTTACAGATATTTAACACTGAAGCTGTTTTGAACTTTCAGTAATGTAAACTCTGTACTAACTGGGTAGTTAGAAGCTGGGCAGTGCATTTTTAACTTTTACTAGACTCCTAAGAGAGACCAGTGATTTTTATATAGCGGTTTTAAAGGTATGAGTCAAAGTATCCATGTTGGATTTATGGAGTATGCAGTTTCAGTTGTAAAATATTATAAAGCATGTGCCTCCATATCAAAAATGAGGATTTGCTTTATATTTTCACGAATTTTGAGTGCCCCTTTTCTCTGTTAAAATTCAGGTTCTGATCATTTTTCTAAGCCAGTTTTCCTGAATCCAAAAGGAATAATTATAGCTGAATTTAAAAAATAAGTGCACCTTGTCAAATACTTGTGTTTCTACACTTGTGTTTGTGTGTGTTTAATAATCACATATACATATAATACTAAAGAGATTTTCAGCTATTAAACTTTAAAAAATGCTTATGTATGGTTAAAGAAACTAAAGAGTGAGAAACTATACCACTGAGTAGTTATTTGGTCTCTGAGATCTGTACTGAACCCTCTTCAGCCATTAATGTTACATGCATACTCGGGTATGAATCCTCTGACTCTCCCCACCCACCCACCCAAGAAAATATTCATAATGGATTACAAAGCAGCAGGTGTCAGGGTCATCTTCCTTTTTAAAGAATTAAGCCATATTTTGTGAGGGCCAGAACTTGGATTATTTAATATATTTCCCCTTTCCCCCATTGAAAAACAATGGTAAAGGTAAAGTAAAGGTTTCAAATGATTTATTGACCTCTTTATACAGAATTTTACTTGTAAAACTTTGGGGGCTTGACTGCATTACATAATATTTATATTGTATTTTTTATTCCTCACACTATATTTACATTAAGAAATTGATTGAGAAGTTTATAGTAAAGGGAAACTTACAGAACACTTTTATATCATTTAAAAGATGACCTGACCAAAAAACTTTACAGGATTCATAAATCAGGGATCATTTTGCTATTGACTTCACAATGATCAGTAGTTTTATAGGTAATATTATAGTTAATTTACAGCATTTTAGTACTTGTATTATTTATTTTTTGGTCAGAAATAGTAAATTAAAATATTTTTTGATAGTTTATAGGTAATGATCAACCCATAACTTTTAACAGAAACAAACAAAATGTTCCTATGATTGAGTCAACTTTTTGATTACACAAACTAGGAAAGGCAGGGAAATTTATGGGTTCCCCTTCTACCCCTTCTACCCAGTGATTCTATTAAGATGTTCTTTATGTTAAAATTTCAAAGTACTTTATAAATTTAGTTACCAGTTACTCCTTGTTAATTGACAATTTTCTGAAAAATCCAGTTTCAGCAGTCTTTAATGAAGGTGAAAGCAACCCTTATATGCTTTCTACTTATTTGAATGTTCCTCAAGTATTTTATATTTAAAATAAAAAAGAAGGAAAAGAAGAAAAACAGTGCCTCTGTTTTTAGAAAACTACTGCTCAGTAAAGTTGTTTAAACCATTTCTGGTAGCTAATGACAATTTTATATTAAATTGTATACTAACTTTAGTGAGACTGATTTTTTTTAGTTGTTTACAGTACAAATACTTGTATTTGTTTTTTAATTGCAGTATTTCCATTGTCGCAGTAATTTAGTAAAACTCTGTGGCTGCCTTGATTTTGACAGATTTTGTTAATATAAACTGATTGTTAGGCAATTAGTTATTTATGCATAAATCAATTGCACTATAATTCATGAATTATTTATTACAATATTTTCTAATGAATTCATGTATCTGTCTTGTGTTGTAAATGTACTGTAATTCTGTTCCTACTTTGTGTTGTTATATATCTAAATCTGTATGAATTTTAATTGTTCAGTTAATGTGTTTCTAGGTTGTAATTTGTAGTAAAGCACTTCAATGCTTTTGCACTTAAATTTACAGCACTGTTGGTGTGTGATTGATTTATTCATTCAGTAAAAGGAAAACGAAAGAAAACAAAACAAAACAAAACCCTGACTACACTGAATTCTTTCATTCTTTCTAGGAAGCAGTTATATTCAAAATAGTATTAGAAATTGACTCTTTCGACATATTTCAGGAACAAGCTTCTAATGATGGGAAAGATGGTTAGCAAGGAACAAAAAGGCAGGATGTTTTGGTTTTAAGTAAGTCAGGAAAAATTAATTTTACCATTAGAAATAAGGGAAAATATGAAATAAGGAAATATATGAAAATATAAAACTTTTACATAATCACTTGAGAATAAATTTTAGATTGGAAACTTACATGTATTATTTATTTATTTAAGGTGGTTTTTCTTTGAGATTCTAACATGCAAGAAATATACAAAAAACCCATAGCCAAATAAGCCTATTGACTTTCTATTATGTGATCTATACAATGTAAACTCGGATCTCAATATTTAGATAAGTTGATTAAGCTATTTTTGTAGCATTGAATACTGGCCACTGTAGTATTTTTGAAATTCCACTCATTAAAACAATAAACTGAATCAGAAAATTTCTAAAGATATAACCTTCCTTGGAATATTAGAACTGGGACATAAAACCAAGTGTTTTTATAATCATTTTAGTAAGACTTAAATTGAAACTTTTTTTAGATTATTTATCACCAGTAATTATTATTTTTACTTTCTAATATGAACTTACTAACAGAAACTTTTGAGCATTTCAATAACTTACAATACTAATCTTTACAGTGTAGTAAAACATTTTTTCTGGGGAACGTGTCAACTCTGTTTTTATTACTAAATATATTTTACAGGCCATAATATCACTGTCAGACTGGTGAAATACAGTTATTAGAATACCTGGGTTTTTTGGCTTATATGAAAATTATGATTTGCTGGAAAATTGTTACTTTGCTCTCATGTTTTTTTAACTCTAACATTGAATCCTGGGAGTTACATAACAATGATAAAACTTGCCAACTATATAGATAGGTGGATGTGTGTGTACACATGTATATACACATCTGTACATCTGTGTGTATATGCTTGTACACACACACGCATGTATTTACTTTCCAAAAGGCAAAGATACTTGGGTGATGACCTATCTACATCTGTCTATAGGCACCAGTGGACATAATTTTGTTTTAATTATGTATCTCTTCTTACTTTGATAGCTTCGTAATGTCACATGATTTACTAGTTTTAGTGCAGCATAGATTGGATCTAGTAAATTAAATTTTTTCTGGAAATTTTTTATCAGACACTCAAACTTTGCTTTTGTATTTTTGCTACTCAACATAATTCTTACTAGTTTAAACAAAAACTGCATACTTCTGTCTGTGGACCAGTTATGCTAGTTCTGGAGAACAAAATTAAAATATAAATTCCATGTTTTATTTTAAATGAAACATTCCTGAGTCTTTTTGTGAGATTAATATTTTATTGTAACAACAAATTTTTTGCAGTAGCAGTTTATGTTCAGCCTATCCCAATTCCAACTCCCAATTTCTACAAATCAGGAGCTATAAACAATAAACTTAAAAAATCACAAGTCAATGGTTGTTTTCATGTACAGAGTTTGGTGATATGTTTAATTAAAATAGATACTTTTCTGAAACAGAATTCTTTAATAGATTTTATTCTTCTTGCTACTGGTATTGGATTAAAAATTTTTTTGTATGCTTCTGTAATTGGTTGGTAAGCAGTCATGGGTCTTAGTTAAATTAGATGTATATTAGTTTCTGCAGAGGGGCATTTTTCAGCATTTGAAATTTAATAATTAGGTAAGTAATTCCTTTAGTTTCATGTAAATGTTTTAGTATTTAAAATCAATTAAAAATAGATTTCATTTTTAAACAACTTCCATTTTTATATTTTCTTATTAGGTTAAAATGCCTGCAGCTTAATCTTAGGAAACATATTCTGTTATTTATATTAAATCAAAATCCCTTAATTTTTCTTGTGACTATGCAGAGCTCTCTTTCATTTAATTTTTACTGCTTTTAAAAAAATCTATTCAAAATAGAGCTAAGATTTTACTTCTACATATTTTTCCCATATTTGCACTGATATGAACTGATAGTTATCAAAATAACTTTCAAACACTTACCTTATAAAAATGTAACTCCTGAAGCACTTTTCATAAAATATTTTAAATATATCAAGACAATAAATGATATTAATAAATAGATATAATCATGTGTAATCATCAGCTTTTATATTGCTGCAAAATTAGGACTTTAGGAATTCTTAAACTCTGTTACAAGAAATTCTCATCAGTGCTTCATTACATTTTTGCTAAATAATAATGAGGATGTAATTGTTGGAGCTTTATAGGAGTCAGGAGTCTGGCAGTACCAAAATATCTTTTGTTCAACTCTGTTAAAATTATGACTCCTTTTAATGTTTTTTTTTTTTTTTGCTGTAATTCATTTTTTTGTTTGATTTTTATTTTTAGTTCAACTGTTGATGCAAAATCAGAGGAAGCTACTAAAATGGAAAGAGGAAAATCAGCATTAAGCAAAGTTTTGGAATCTTTGTGCATACATCACCAGCAACAAGTTTTGGCTATGTTGAAATGTCTAGTCCAAGAGCAGAATGCTGCTTCTCTTTTTTGCTGTAATGCATCATGTGCTGTGTCTTCAGAATCTCAAAAGCCCCTAATTGGAGATGACTTACATAGTCTGCTTTGTAGTTGTGAATATAGACTGGCAGAAAGAGGGTGTTTACAAAATGAAAGACAAAGTCCTGGTTTAGGGCCTCTGCCAGTCTGTATTAAAGATTTACATTGTTTATCTTGCCAAACTGTAACTGTTGAACACATTAAGAAAGTAGTGAATAGAGAAATTGCAAATGGTTATAATTCTCACAGGTGCTGTTCTGGACCACAACAAAACATTCACTCTACAAATTCCACCTTTCATAGTCCTGTTTTGGCGAGGGAAGCGTGTGATCTTTCAGTAACTCTTAAAGGTGTTTGTAGATCTCGAAGTCCCTCACCTCCACCATTATCACCTGTACACACTGAAGGAATTGAAATATTAAAGGATGTCATCTCAGAGCTTTCAAGCTTAGAAAATAACAAACTTGAAACAAATATTAACCAGCCTCCATCTCTCACACCGGCAGAAATAAGCAGCAACAAGGGTGACCATGAAAGTAAAACATACAAAACTAAAAAATTAAGTAACTGTGATTTTTCACTCTTGGATGATAGCAATAATTGTACCATAAATCATGAAAAAGGTGAAACTGCTGTAATTTTTCAAGATTTAATGGATCGCATTAATGAAAAATTAAAGTCAATAGAAACCACAGATACAGCAAACCTTATAAAATTATCTAACAGTGATTGTAGTACAGATTATGATTTGAAATTGGGAGATTTAATAACTTCTCTCTTGCACAATGCAAAGGCCAGTGATTACAGTTTTATGGAATTACTGAGTCAACACGATAAAAACACAGAAAATAAAACTATTCAGACAAGATTTCGAAAGCGTCAAGAAACCTTACTTGCGATGCACAGGTCTCCTAACTCACCCGTATTGAGAAGGCAGTCTGTACAGATGAAAAGGCAACTTGCCAGTCTTGATGAAAGTTTTGTAAGAAAGAAATACACTGAAAAAAATTCAAGGAAGTTGATGCACAGTGACAAGATATTTTCATTGAACAAAGAAGAGTTCTGTCATTACCAAGGGCCTTTCTTACAAAATTCTAAAAGCTCTGAAGTTAAAAATCATGCAGAAACATCGTTTTCATCAAATTATGCATTTCAGTCTTTACAACTACCTCTTCACAGTGTAGAAACTAATTCGACTTTTGATGCATTTTCAGAAAGCTTTAAAACAACTTCACTTGAGAAAATGAACATAAGAAAATTACAGGAGAAATCTGCAGCTGGAAAAATGATTGTTCAGAATCATCAGGAGAATCCAAAATTAGAACATACTCCAATTCCTTTAAGAAGTGATGTGCCTGGACTTCTGAACAGAACTAAACGGAATATTGTGCCTCCAGGGTGGTACTCTATATATGTAACAAATAATTATGTTTTCAAAAAGTCACCTAAGACTAAAAAAGTGTCCGAATCCACAAGAAGAAAAGAACTAGTGAAAAACATTCAAATCGAAAGCTCACACAATATAGACCTAAACAAAATTGCAATGACTTCTAATTTACAAGTTGTTGTGGAACGTTTGGAAGATACAATAACCATGGCCAAAAAATCTTGGGATAATCAGCCATTATCAGAGGGATATAAAGCATCTAAGAAGTTGATAGAAGTTGATGGTAAAGACCCCAAAGCTGTGCGAAATATAAGTCTTACTCTAAGTAGAATGGCTTGCAAAGAGCAGAGTGTTTCGAAGCCTGTGGTCACATCTGACAGTATTGTCAAAAGTCATTCTGTGCCTACAATGGATTTGAATAACAAAAGACTTGATAATCTGAAAAAGACTTCCACTTTAGATATGGGTACATTTGTTTCCAATTTTGAAAATTTACCAAAAAAATATGAAGGTGTTGAAAGCTCTTTTCCTAACTATTCTAGTCCTGTCAAACTCATGTTTTTATCTGAGGTTAAAAGCAATGAAGGAGTCAAATATACTTTAACTTCAGTTGGTACTTCTCAGTCAAGTACTAGTGTTCCTCCTGAAAAACTTATGACCCATCGTGTAACCGCGAAAAAAAGAGAAGCAAATGAGGATATCCCAAATGCTAGCTTTGAAAATTTAAGTTCTAATCATTACAATGAGGACATACTTCAAAGGGAACTAAGTGAATTTAATTGCACAAAAGAAGCTCCAGAATCTTCTGAAATGTTTATTAATGATGTGAATAGTGATAAGCCACAAGAAGGATCTAAGGAAAATTCAAGTGGTATTATTGATTCATCTTTTAAAAGAAAACCAGGTAGACCTAAAAAAATAGGACCCCAAGTTGTGAAACAGGTTAAGAGACCAATTGGAAGACCACCAAAACCTAAAATGGATCAAACAAACATCACCATTTGCCAAAATGAGTCCTTTAATGCTGGAAGGAGAAGCTCAGAATCTCTCATATCAGAAGTAAAAGACGGTATTTACAAAAAGAGTATTACAGTAACTGTGATTTATGGCAGGTCAAGAAGAACTAGAAGGCATGTTTCTGAAGGAAATGTAACCAGAAGCAATACTAGATCTTCAAATAATAATGCTGCTGATTTTCCAACTGAATATGATAGTCTCAGAAACATTAGAGAACATGAAATTGACTTAAATGAAAGAGTAAGTGCAGTGTCAAGCTTGACCGCTGAAAGTGAGATCTTGCAGTCAGGCTTTGAGTATGTTAGACCTATCAAAAACAAGTCTGTGGTACCTCAGCCTTCCAAGAACATTATTCGGCCCAATCAGAAGCCTTTGACAGTCATAAGGAAGCCTGGTAGGCCTGCAAAAGTGAAAATCTCTGGCATATCTGTGACTATTAATAGAATTTCACCTCAGGAAAGAGAAGTAAGTATTAGCAGCTGCCTGCCTCCTCTAGATCAGGAGAATGCATTAGAAAAATCTCTGCCTGAAGACAAGTTTGATCAAACATGCAATAAAATGGGTAACTTGAAGCACACTGCCGTTGACATATGTGAAAATGGATCCCAAAGTATGGTTAGTACTATACCTTTGAGACAGTCTGTTAGGGATAGAAAACCATCTCTGCATTTCTTACATTCATTAGCATCTTCTGGCTCACTTATTTATAGAAATTCTGTGCTTCATAAGTCATACAAGCTCCATTTGCAGAAAGGTAAAAATCAGAAGGAAAAACATCAACAGCCAGGGTTAAAAATAACTTCCAAAGATACCCCAAGAACTAGATGTTCAAGGAATGCAAAAAAGTGTTTGGACAGTAACAAATCTGTACCCACTAAAGAAGTCGCCTTGGACCCAATAATCTCATCCAACCCTCTGCTCAGGTGGTGGGCCACTTCTACTTCAAATGATTCCCTATTACAGGAGTTGAACAACAGATTTGAGCAAATAACAAATGCCTGGGTGCAAGTGAGTGGCGATGAAGCTGAAAATTGCATTCATAAAAAAAAACAACATGTTGAAAATGATAATTTCAAAGTAGCAAAACCTTTAGAAACTTGTCTTTTAGAACTTGAAGTTTCACCTGTAAAGATGCTTTTTCAGAAAAAGTATGATTTGAATGAACTCTCCACCTGGTTTATGCAAACAACAGAAACACAGTCTCTTTCACTGGTTAGGAAAGCAAATGCTCGAAACCCTTTGGAGGTAATAAACACTAGAGGAATTAAATTAGGTACAAAATATTCTGATTTTAACAGCCCCTTTAGAAAACACTTTAAAAAATTTGCACTCTCTTCTCCCTCAAAGTCAGCAGGAAAGCTACACATACTGCATAAAATGGTCAGCTCTCCACTTTTAAATATTAAGAGTAATTTAACACTAGCTAGATTGAAAAGGACTGAGTTGAAGAGGTTACATCATGAAAGGTGGAGAAGAGAGGGTAAGCTGCAGAAACACGGAGCCGTTGATTGGAACTCTCAAAGGAGGAACTTAAGGTTTTACTGCCAAAATCAGTTTTTAGGTAAGATTGGGGGGAGGACAAGTACCGACACCCCACTCCACGGCAAGCGACCCCTGGCTAAGCAGTGTATTGTGCCGTATGAGATGAGAGAGGATTTTTCGCAGCAACAGGTGGCAGTTTCTCACTTGAAAGCACATAGTAATCTAGAGAGTAAATTTAAGTCAGAAGCAAAGGAGAATGGGACAAAATGCAGCCAAAAAGATTTTGAAAAGGGATCAAGACTAGGAACTGTGTGCTCAAATAATTGGAGGTCAAAAACGTTAAAAGATTGTAGAATATTTTTGAGAAAGATCAATTATCTTGAACACAGAAATACTTTTAAACTAAATACAATAATTTACTCTCCTGAATCTGTTGACAATGGAAGTAATCTTCAGACTCATTTAGAAGAATCAAAGCGCTTTACTTTAAGGTCCCATTCTGCTAGGCAAAATTCCTTTAAAACTAAAGAGATAGAAAATGATAAAGCTAACAGTCCTTCAAATGATAAATTTGCCGACCAGCTTGACAATAATAAATTAAGCAAATTGGCTAACTTTGACAAGAACTCTCCTGACACTTCTGAAGTTCTTAGCAAATTGAACAAAAGAAAAAGACCACCATGGAAGACCACAGAAATATCAACAAAAAGACATAAGCGACAGTCTTGCAACAGTGGACAAATGGCAAACTATTTTTCAAAATCCCAACTAGGTAAGTTGTTCTCTACTTAATTTTACAGTTTCATTGTAGGTGCCTTGAGTAAAGTACAAGTTAATAGGTAGAAAAGAAGCAGCTGGTTTGGTTTTATTTCTTAAATATTTAAAACAACCTAATTTCTTGGCACCTAGTTTGAAACTCATGTAATTAGGTGTTATCAAATGTGCTACTGCACTTCCCCACCTCTTAATGTATCCAGACTTTCAATCACATACAAACATGTTTAATATAGAGACATAGTTTCTTTAAAATTTATCATTAATGTAAAAGTTACTTTTTCTTCTTTTGCATTTGATAAGTTAATTAAAAATCAGAAAAAAATGTTTTATTAAAAAAGACCAAGTAAATATCTAAAATCATTAGAGGCCAATGTATGTATTTATTGATAATAATGTCTCAGATATATAGAAAAAATAAAAACTGCTTTATTGCTAAAATAATGTAACATAATCCTTGACTGTCAGACTCACGTCCCACGATCGAATTCGTACAACACCTGGTACCTCTTTGAAATTCACCTTATTTAAATAAATGACAAATAAATAAGACTTGCCTTGTTTTGAAGAATGATACAGTATTTGTTTTCACTAAATTAGCAATTTATTGAAAGAAATAGAACTTATAAGGAGAATTCTTATCCACTGATAAGCTATATTGAGTTATAGGCAAGTTATTGCTATATAATACTAATTTTAGAATAGCAAGTAATTATGTGCTTTGCTAAGTTAATAAAAAACTGACATTGATGCCTAAGGGAGACTTTCTAACTTACCAAAATGTGAAACTATCACTGACAACACAGCAGTTTCCAACTCCGTGCTGTCCGTGACATGAGAGACATGCAGCAGTTGCTGGAGTGGTTATGGGTCACTTGCTCAAGTGAGAGAGCGCTGGGTCACATTTGTCACTTGATTGCATCGTTACATACATCTTACGGTTTTGGAGTGATTGGGAAGTTTGGTGTCTATTTTTGTTACCTTGAAAACAAATAACATCAGGTTTTATGTTAAAAAGCAGTCATTAAGTTCTAGAATTTTAATAAATGATTTTATGTCCCCATTTAAATTATTTAACTGAATAACTTTACCTATTTCAGCAATACTTAGTAATTAATGATTAAAAGCTAATTCAGAAATTAAAATTTTAAAGGTAGTCAAAGGAGTCTGTTATGGAAGTTGAATCAGAACTGAAAATAATGACCTTTCTTATCCTTAGCAACACTAAAATCACTATAGCCAATTAGAATAAAAACCCAGTGGTAATTTAAAAAAAAAAAAAACCTTATAGTTTCCCTGACAATAATACACTAATACACACATTTTTTAAAGATCATCATGAGTAGAGAATAAAATATGAAGTTTCATTTTTAATTCTTTATATCATCCTCATTTCATGCTTTGACTGTTTACCAACAATAATTTGTATTTACACATTTTACAACAGAACCGTATTTTGTCCTTCAATATTCTGAACCATTCTTCTCAGAAATAACCACAAAATGTGTTTTTAAATTAACATTGCATGAAACATGAAATCATCCTATACAAGTATAAAGGAAGATGCCTAATTATTACATTAATTTCAAATTTATTTTGGGATATTCACAAAATTTTTAGTGTAATGAACTGTTTTTCATCTTTCTCATTTTAAAAATTGCTAGTACTATTCCTTGTTCTGCTTAAAGTTTTATTTATCTTTTGCTGATAACTTTCCTTCTTTATTTTTAACATTCTTTTTTAATCAACAAGGATATTATTTTTATAAACTTGTATTTATAGCAGTATTTGTTATATTTATGTGTATGTTTTTTTGAAGTATGTTTTTTTCATTCTTGGTATTCCATTACAACTTTTTGCCGTTTTGGAAATAATGTTAAATCTCATTATTAGTTTATATATGTATTTTGCTTCATCAAATAATTAGTGACTGGAGATTTAACTATGGCACTTTCTAGAAAAACTAGGGAGATGTGTATAACAAATTTTGGTATATTTCCTGCTGATGAAAAGTTTTGTTTCTACCATAAATATGCTGTTTTTGTACATTTCAAGATTAACTGTCTGGACACATTTAGTACAATGGAATTTTAAAGTTTATACTCCATATTTGTACTACTGTATATTAATGTGTAAGCCTTAAAAAAAATCATCCTATTGTTAGTTCCACAAATATTCAATGAATGTCTGCAAAATGCTCTTAGTCATCTTGGATGCTTCAGAGGTTACAATTCTTTGTAAGTTAAAAGATAAGACCTATATCATTTATTTATTCAATAAGTAGACTATATTGTATGTCTTCAAAGATGTCTTAAGGAGCATAATGATTACAATTGTGGCCTTGTTCCAACGATGGCTACCATTTCTTGGGGAACAGAAAAATGGATGTGCAGTTGCTCCAGAAGGGTGAGTGCTGTAATCGGAGAGGGTGAATTACAGGAGCACACAGAAAGCAAGCTGAACCAAGTTTTCTGCCCATCACATCTAGGCAGATGCTTGAAGTGTGCCTAAGTATTATTATAAGTTGGAGGACAAGTGGTTCAGGCAAAGCAAACTACATAAAGAAAAATTAAGTGATGAAAGGAAGCTCAATTGAAACCCCAGTTGGTCATAGCGAAGGCATATAGTAGCAATCATGGATTGGGCAGGTGTGGAAAAGTTCAGCACCACATACGAAAAATTCCTACCTCAAGGTCCAAGTCTTCCAAGATAAAGCTGCTGAAAACACATAGTCTGTGAGGTTCTTATCAGTTAATGGGAAAAGTGTGGAACCCTAATAATGGCAGCAATTAAAAATAGATTTGAGAGAGAGTTGTAAAGGAAAGTCAGCACTTCAGGAAAGGAATAAAGGGTAATTTCAAGGTGTTTTCTTTGAACATCTGGGGAGATGTTTGTAAGTTGCTCTGAAATATACGAGGATGCTCTGTATTCAGTTTTAGACAAAAGGAAATTGAGGAATCTAGTGGGAAACCAAGAAATGATAGTTAAGAAACTGTTTGATAATGTAAATCTTACCCAGGAAAGAGGCCTAAGATGAACATTTGGAAGTGAGCAAATAATTTAAGCCATGAAAGTCAAAAAGTTTAGGATCTCAGGAAAAGATGTGTGCAAAAGGAAACTGATGAGAATACTTTAAGAGGAAATTGTTGATAAGAAGTAAGTTAAGGTAAGACTCTGTAAGCTCCCTGCCCCCCGACCCAGCGTAGCCACAATGGTAAGCTGGATGATTTGAGAGAGAGCAGCTTTTGAGAACTCAGGGAAGCAGGTGTCATATTCAGTGCTACATGAAGTAAATGTAGAAAAGCAAAGGAATAAAATATAGCACTGAAATCTAGAAAGGACTGTGGGAGAGGAGATAGAGGTATTACCTAGGTAAGCAAGGGTTGGGGGCGGGGGAAGAGATTAAAGCCAGGTTTGTTAAAAAAAAAAAATGTGTATGCACCAGTGGGAAGGAAAATATTGGTAAGTACAATGTTGAAGACACAAAGGTGAAATAGAAGTGGGAAGGTGGAGATCTCCTGGATTCATCATAGGGTATAGGATCTACAGTCGTGATAGAAGAGTAGGCTTTGGCCAGAAGGGTCACTAAAAGACAGTAGGAACAGCTTGTGGGGATGCAAGTCTTGGTGATTTTGGGGGGCAGATATTGGGATACTATGATCCATTGTAAGTGAATCAAAAGATAATGTAAGAGTGATCTGGTTGCACTGGGTATTGGATAATGTGTGTAAGACTTAAAGCCGTTGTTCCAAGAACTCAGAATTGAGCAGCTCTGTGGATTATCGCTGCTGCCAGTGTGTAAGCTTAGAATAGACCATTAGATTGAATAGTGCTCAGACTCACCAATTTGGTGTTAGGGAAAGACAAAGAGTTACAGCCAAAAGTGACTATCCTGTGAGTATGAGATCTGTGATCAGAGCTGAGTTCTAGATGACCTTTGCTAATATTTTCCCTTAATGTATGTTAGGGGAAGGAGAGGCACAGGAGCTGTGGAGTGTGAAGAGCCTGTTGCAGGATTGAGATGATAACATCCTGAAGACTGAGCGTGACTACTGCAGTCTCTTTTCAGTACTCAAAGCAAATTTACAACTTTTAATTGGGAAATACCTGGAAGTTAATAAGCTAACTTTGGATACCCTTAGAAAATTTTTAAGAATAAAGTACTAGTTTAATTTTCCCCCTGAAATTCAGAAATCAGTTGACACTTTGACTTAGATTGTGAAATTACTTTTTTAAAAATTCAGTTAATTTCTCTTGTGTTTTCATCTGTCTTTAAAATGACAATATATATATATTTTTCCATTTGCAACTCTGGTTTTTACATAGATTGTGATGGTAATGCTAATAGACTCCTACAGCTACTTAGTATGGACACTTGCCACGCAGCCTCTGATCTTGCCTATGAATGTCTACCATATTTTTAACATTGAACTCAAGAAGTTTGAAATTCACACTTATTATTGTCAAATATTCTTAGGCATTATGATACAAAATTAGAGTTTATTCATATATTGTTAATATCATGATTATCAGTGGGAAAACCATGAAGCATATGTGTATGATTTTCTAAATTTAACTGTGATAGAGAAAGACTTTCAGGTGACTTAGTCACCATTGGCATCGCAGGCATTCCAAGCATGGGTTTCGAGTTATGCTGGACACCCAAGTTCCTGTGTGCGAAGGGTTCGTTGGCCAAATGCTAGGTCTCTTTCCAGTTCCTGGTGCTTTAAAGTGTCCCAGCAGCATGTGAAATTACATTGCTCCAACCTTTTTTTTTTTCTATGTTGCAACTTTTGTGTATCACACAAATATAGGTTAGGGAATGTAACTGGAGACCCTGCTCTATGTACTTTCCTGCTTCAGTTAGGCTGTGTTTCGTTGTGATATTCCAATAAAGAATATAGTAACTAAAAATAGATGTTCATTTATATGCTAGGTTTGTTCTGGTTGTATATAAGGTCATGAAAAATAAGTTGTAAGTGCTTTGTTAGCATTCATCATTGAAAGAACACCGTGGCAAACACCTGTCAGCCCGAGATGATCTCAGTCTGGTATGTGTATTAGATTTCGTCAAGAAGGAAGAGCTGTGGTAGAGGTCAGCTCAGAATGATTTACCCTCTGATTACAAACCATGAGAAAATATTTTTGCTATGAATTTAAGCAAGCATGTTAGATTAGTGCCTCCTCAAGGGTTAATATGTGCTCTTAGTTTGGTTAGAACTGAATGAAAGAAAGATGGATATAACTTAATGTGAGAATTAACACATGAATATACTCTTCTCTTGTATGGAGTTCTTGATGCCTCTTTGCAAATTGCCAGTGCCATAGGAAACACTATTAAAACTCTGTGGAAGTACTTTAGTGAAACCAGAGATTTTAAAACTGAAAATCACTGTTTTAATTTGAGGGTTATTTCCTCTGTCCCATCATTTTCTTAGGAATTGGGTAAAGAGGTAAATTTCTAACCTTCCCCATAATACTCTACAAGACAACTAACTTGATCATCTCTATCTTGATGTTTTTTTCCTTGGTTATATCTCCTTGCTTTCTCAACCATTATTGATATTCATAATACCATGTTTAGCTGACTGTCCCATCTTATTTCATCAAAAGCAATGCAGTTTATTCAACAGACTTTGGATACTTTTTTCCTTTGGTGTACCAGGCATGAAGTTAAGATATTAAAGTCACAAAGGAGTTCGTATTTCAAGGGCTTCCCCCTGCCTCCCTTGGGGTATGAAACTAATATAACTTGAAGATAACATGGTAGGTTCACGATTTTAGTGTTGCAGAATTACAAAATATTTTCGAACTTAAAATAATTCTCTACATCATGAAATCTGGCCCATAGCCTGTTTAGCAAATAAAATTGCGTTGGAATACTGCCATGCTCATTTGCTTTGGCCAACTGCTTTTGTGCTACAAAAGCTGAATTACCAGAGACCATAAAGCCCACAGAGTTCATTGTGGAAGAAGTTTGCTAACCCTGTTTATATCACTACAGTTTTGATGTGGAGTAGCTAGAAAATAAGTTAATGGCTTTTGAAAAATGGGAAATGTCAGCCTGTCATATTCACCTCCGGCAACCCATGCACTCGCTCCTCCAGCATATACCAATGCATTTCACATGCTGGTTGTGTTTTACTCCTGTGGGACGATTCTGTATGTCTTTAGCCAGCAGAGTGGTGCTGTTGTAGACAACTATTGTCTCCCTGCACCCTCCAGACCTGCCTTCTAAATCCGAGGTAAGTGCAAGGGCCACCCTTCTCCCTCAACCAGCTGTTACCACCCATTTCAAGGATTTTGAGTCCAGTACTTCACTTCATCATAAATTCCTTAATCAAGGTCCAAGTCTTCTCCTTGTTTTGCTGCCTTCAATGTTTTCTGTCAAAATTCAAAAGCTTTAGTTAAACTCTGCTGGCTACTATTTTTCCCGAGCAGAAAATAGCCTTCTTTGTCATAGAGCTAAACATTCTCTGATTATCATTATGTTAAGATTAATGACCTCACCTTAAGTTTAATTTTTTTAAGTGCAGGATAGATCTCAGAATAATATCATCTTGTCACTTACTG